ACATCGATGCAAAGTAAGGCTTTGATGTCACACAAGCTATCACGTCGGTGTATGTTCTGGTGAGAGCTATTATATTTCTCCAAACAGCATAAATGAATTAAAGTAAAAGTCAGGAACAGCAAAGTATGCTGGATATGGGAGCTGGTTTACCACCCACCTCTACGTATAACGCAGGGTGAGCAATGGGGCCAATTTAAAGATACATTTTGAACAGGTGACCAAGATAAGACTAGAAGGGATTCGAAATAGCTGGATTTCCAACTAGCTAGTGTGACAGGGTCTCTGACACAAGGCTAGCTATTGTTTGAGAAAATAAAATATTAAACGTTGGGGTGGCATGAGTGTCGAGCAAAATGGATCTGGTTCGTTTTGTTGCCAGTCTACCAGTGTTTCCAATAGTCATTGGCGAATGTTTCACTCAAGTAAAAGCTAAGATATATGGGGCCAAGAGAAGATAAATTAGGGTACAAAATGTCTGGTTTGAGACCACGGCTCAATGACGGTGCACATAGAACTAGGTTTGGCTCAGAAACTACGTATCAAACTAGTTTTTTCCGTTATTTGTAGTGACAGGTTGGAACAATGTAGGCACCTGGTAACGGCGCCATCGCGATGTTAATATCCACTCCGAGGATAAGGGCTAGTAAGGTTCCCCTAGTAGCCAGATCTGTACTGTTGTTGCTAGCAACCATATGCGTAGATCCGTTTTAACGAATGGTACTTAATAAGGGCTATATAGATGACTAATGGAGGGAGTTGGATATGGTTGTGGCTATATTGATAAACAGCGCCCATGTAGACAAATAAATGTGGGCTTAAGAGTAGATTGTGTTGAATAATACCAATGGGTTCAGCTGAGCTCTGATAAAAGTAGATGAGTGATGGACTTCACGAACTAACAGCACATTTGTGTGCCTACACGGGTCTCAGTTGCGGAAAGTATCGCAAAATAAGAGTTAAGCAAGTTTGATTTACTTGCGCGGAGCCGCAGGACAAACTGTGTAAGGGGTGGTAATAGTCATGAATGGAGATATGGAAATGGTGGAGAAGTTATAGTTTAGGTATATAATCCGTCAACGCAGAGGGGTTCTAAATTGCGCACAGTAATATATATATATATCAAAATCGCATACAAGAGAAAGACATGTGGAATGCGGAGAAAAGAATGGAGGTGTAACTGAAGGTGGCCTTTCAAATAGGGCACCAGAGGATAAGAAAGTAAGGGTCGAAGCTCAATCTGCTTCTTGTTAATGTACGACCTTGCGGTTTACAACCCACTGTCGTTTACTTCTCAAGTGTCACGGTTGATGCTAGTTAAAAGCCAGGGGTTGTAGATAGGGGCATGGACTGTAAGTAAGCTTTACAGTTTAAGGTTACCGTTACTGAGCAGTACTACTTAGAGCAAAGTAAAGATGGGATAAGATAGTGATGGCCGAGTAATGAAGCGCTGCCAGCGAAAAAGTCACATTCACCTGACATGCGGAGTTGCCACTCTGTTCAAGAGTGCTATGCCAAGTATCGCTTTATTAGCGCTGTAAGGTGGCAAGCGAGGTAGACAGCTGTAGAGGTAAAAATACCAATTGGGCGTAACAGGCCGTCTTTGCAGCTGCACTTACACCGCCACATGTGTTCGTAGGACCTGAGTGACTTCAGTCAAGCTAGAAATAGGTCAAACGATAATGAAATTAGTTGAAGCTGATCATAAACTTGGATTTGCAGCCTTAGCTCAAAGACTTATGGTGCAATTGGTCCCGGGGAAAACTAGGAAGGAATGACAGCTATTAATCTAGGGATGACACAAATGCCTCACACCAATGTATCGCATCTTTTATCTTGATAACGCACGATGTTACACCGGGGCTGTTTATACTCCATCTGGCCTGGTCTCAAAAATGCGATCGTCCGAGTCACAGACTTTAAAAAGCTGTTTTGCATTATCCAGGCACCGGAACTTTCGCAACTCCATCGTGAAAGCCTATGGGTTCTGTATTCCTCGCAGCCTTTGTTGTATCAATGTATGGTAGAGAGCAGAAGGGGAGTCTTTTGTCAGCTCCGTCGCTTCCCAGTCATTGCGAAAATAGGTTTTCACAATGAACCTTAAAACTATGTTGTGAAGCAATATACAGGCACAGTTAGCAGGTGGGAATCTCACCGTTTCTTAATGCATTCCTCGAACTGCGCATCCACGACCAGTTGCAGAAGACTATTTTAGTCAATAACCACGCGAGTGGATAGAGCTAGTTCTGACCGCACATGATGTCTCCTCGACTCAAAGTTTTCATCTGTGACCACGTAACGAACCTGTACTGTTCTGAGGAAAGAACGGCTGTAACGTTTCCTAGCTCTCATCTTAGAATTGGTCGAGTGTAGATCAAATCGCTGCGACGAGGACGATAATCCAGAAAGAAAATTTTAATCGCTGGAGACGGAATGGATAAGATAGGCACCGCAGCCCTGACACATTTAGATCCACGGCGATGAAGATTCTGAATCATACCGCGTTCGGTCATCGTGAGAGAAGGGGCAGCTAGCAAACCGTACTCGAGAATTGGGCGTAGATGTAAGGTAAACAGGAGCCTGAAAAGTCCTAGAGTAAGACGGGAGAAGGCTCTTCGTAAAGCATGAAACATCCTGTAAGCAGTGGTTTTGAGGTAAGAAGACACAATTACTCCGAGGTACCTTCCTGAGCGACATTTTAAAGCAAGAAACCCCAATATGGTACACTCCAAATGGTTCACGAACACCAATCGGGAGAATGGAACATTTATCCCGATGGATCTGTAACTGCCATTATACCGAAATAAATAATAATAATAATAATGTGCCAGCTGTACGTCATAACGGCGCTTCGTTGCTGTGCGACCACCACCAGTCGCGCGCGGACTGAGTATACCGCAAGGACGCCAACCCCTACGCGGATTCGAACCGGGGACCTTATGTTCGTGAACCAGGTGCGCAGACCACTCGACCCCCGGCCATTATACAGACCAGTCGTGGAGACTGTTGAGTGTTTATTGGAGCCTGTCTGCATGCTTTAGATTGGACATCTCAACCTAAAGTTTCAAGTCATCTGCAAAGATCAAACATTCCGTATGCATCTCAGAGAGTTCGTGGATGAAGATGTTGAGTAGTACAAGGACGAGGACAGAACCCTACGGGACAAACTGGTCATAAGAGAAAGACCAGAAAGTGTTTGATTCATCTTTGCCTGCGCAGAGCGAATGTCCAAGAAATCGGAGATCCAGGAGAGAAAACTCCCAGAAACGCCAGTTCCGCGGATTTCGAAAATAAGCCGTACATAAGGAACCCTATCAAAGGCCTTGATAAAATCAACGAACAAAAACATCCTATCGTTTGCCAGCACTTAGTGATCACACACATTTCTCCCTTGCCACAAACAAGGGGAGTGGCTAATTTTTGACATGAAAAATTGAGCTGGAGGGACTTTGATTTCCAGTACACCATGCTTAATGGTGGTACATTCATAAGTTCAAGTTCAAGTTCAATTTGGACAGGAACGGTAGGAGAATTCCCATGTGTGTTCCTTCTTCAATGCGTCGTTGAACCAGGATGGAGTTCGCGGGAGCGGTTTGGAGCCGAGAGGAGCCAAATCAATACACACGAATCACATAACGGTCAACCAATCAATGCCCACGCGGCCTGCACTAGCAGTCCCCACTGTACCGGCCACGTGAATAGAATAAAGGTTAAGAGAAGGGAACCAACAAAAACAAAATAATGGTAATTGTAGTACAGGAGAGAATGTGTGGTTAAGACAATAATAGTAATAGATGTGAGGAGCCAAGGAAATAGATGTAGAAGTTAAGAACTAAACGGAAAGGTCTGAAACTGTAACCCAAGGGCGTCGAGTCGATGTTCAAGCTCCTTCACCGTTGGTGCTAACACTACTTCGCTGGGTAGTGCGTTCCATGAGTCGATGACCCTGCGTGACAACCGAACGTCAGCTCTAACGTGATCAGATCTAGGCTTATGCAACTTCAGAGGGTGACCACGAAGAGATGACATCTGAGCCGGCTGGAACAGTCCAGTTAGATCAGGCCCAATCTTGTTGGTCAATATACGGTAGGTAAGAATCAGGTCTCCCCGAAGGCGCCTATAGTGCAGCGAAAACATCTGCAACCTGAGCAGCCTATCGGGATACGAGAGATGCCTCAATCCTTGTACCATTTTCGTACCAACCCTCAGAACTCGTTCAAGTGTCATCTTATCGCGTACCAAGCATGGAGGACAGGCCTGCACGCAGTACTCCACGTACGGCCTGACGAAGGATGAGAACAATATAACGAACATTTCATTTGTTATAATGCCGAATGACCTGCGGATCATCCACAGCATTCGGAAACCCTTACGGGTAGCATTTGTCCAGTTCTCGCTGGATTTGAAGTCAGAGGATAATTGAGATACCCAAGTCAGTTTGTTCAGTCACTTGACGCAATACATTTCCGCCAAGTACGTAAGAAGTTGTGGGAGTACTTGATCCTATGCGCAGGATCAAACACATTGCAAGATTGACTGGAAGCTGCCACAATTCTGACCACTCCCAAAGCTTGTCCAGAGCTGTCTGTAAAGCCGTGGGCCCAACAGAACCGCTCACTGTATTGCAAAATTTTAAGTCATCCGCAAACATAAGGGATGGTACCTTAAGCTTCTCAGGGAGGTCGTTGACATACAATGCAAACAGTAGAGGTCCGAGAACCGACCCCTGAGGAACACCACTCAGAACGGCTTGTCTGGATTTGAAAGGTGTATAGGTCACTTTGTGCTTAAGTATGTGGAAAAAATGGTAGTTGGTAAGATTTAGTAGTTGTAAATTTCGCTTTCATTCATCATGATTACAAAAAATACAATAATCAGACAAGAGATATGTATCCCTGTTATCCAAGCAAGTTACTGCAAGTGTAACCTTTACATACATGAAACAACTGCATTAACACTTATTTACTCCATAAAACAACCGTTCACACTTCACTTGTATTTACCATTTGCCTGTTTTCGATTATGCCGTGAACTACAACTACAGGTGTATACACCTGTAGTCATCACTTTAATTTATCATAACCGTTTTCACGAAGCAAATCCATATAGCATTATCTCCTATTTCCCACACCTTAATACCCCTAAAATTAGGAATATACTCTGCAATCACTCAAACTATCTTGGATGTTACCGAGGGCATTTGAAGCGAAACCCTTTCCCGCCAATACAGAAACTAGCCCTTCCCACAAGCTAGTTGTGATCGGAATGTCGGATCCGCCACTTTCGACAGCGTGGTTTCGGTACACACGGTTTTATGTGGTTGGATGTAAAGTTGGGGCCATCGGACGCATGTGAATGTTTATTATTAATTTAGGGTGTTTTTTGAAATGCTAAGAGTTGGATTTGGAATCACTATACTAAGCGGTTTAAAGGTGTTACGGTGTTTAATCAGTTTTCCGCTTCAGCGTAGCAGCCACAGTGGATGACTCGTTTGTATTCCGACGTATACTTAAGGGTCCTTTTCTGGACTTCGCATCAATGAATGATGATCTGAAAGTGTTTCAGACGGAGACGGCGACATCGTTTATTCGTTGGAACGTTATAACTACGAAGGCGTACCAGAGGGAGACTGGACAGGTGCTACCAGAAGGATGCCCGGACCGGTATATTCTGTTTGTATGCGTGCATGGCAAGCGCGGCAATGTTGCTGGAGAGCGGTAAGTGCATTACATCTGCTTGATGAAAACATTATTACATGTACCGCTGTTACAGTTGTCCTGCTCGCTTTTCAGCGACGTTTAGGGGCGAATGTTACGAGCTTAAAAGCGTGAATCTGTGGCATTCGCACAGGTTTCAAGTGGGGAAGCCTTGGCTGTATGCGAAAAACCGGGGGCTACCGCCGGATCAGGAACGCATGGTGCTTAACTTAATGAAAACGTTTCGTCGGACACAGGAGATGCTTGTATTTGTGAGCCAGCAATATAACGTTCGTTTAACAAGGCGCGATTTGTATGACATACGGCGGCGTCATCGGAACGCTTGTGCCACGGAAGTGGAAGAGGTTACGCAGTTGCTGCGAAGAAATGGTCAGCTTAATATTATGTATGAGGGAAATAAGATTCGGTATAATTTTTTCGTGCCTACGCGTATGCTGGAGTTGGTGGGCCAATACGATGGGGTCGGTTTTGCGGACTCCACATATCAGCTCAATTATGGGGGCTACGTCATATGGCATCGCATGTTTATGGACGTTAGCGGCCTTGGTATGAGCTTCTTTCAGGCGCTTCTGCGAAATGAGACGGAGGCAACTTATGTAGCGCCCAAAAAGATAACTCCTATCCTTCATGTACAATTTACCTGTTGACCGATTGTACATTATTCCTTCTTGTTTTAATCGTCTTTACAACCGTATCGATACGTGACAGCCTTGTAAGTTCCCGCACTCACGTGTTCGCTCTCGCCTCGCTTCATCCTTCCGCTTCTTATTGTAACCCATCGAATACAGTCCGCTGTGTCCGGCTCCAAGTGCCTTCTATATCCGCGCCTTATTTCGCGCACTGTCTCGGACTAGTATTAACTAGTCGTAAAAATTAATGACCCCGATTTGCACGCGCGAATTCACCTATTTTTCGCGTTTGTATTTTTCGGTGAGCTCGTTCCTTTTTCTCGATTATATACCTGTATGCATTTGTTTCTTGCGTAATGTCAGTACTTTTATCGTGTATTTCTTCATCCTTTATCTTTTCGACTCACATTTCGAGAGTAGCATCTGAGTCGTTTCACAGCGTAACTATGCTCACTTTGGCTGTTCCAAGTTTCATGGAACAGCCCAGAGGTTTGGTTTACGATTTTCGAGATGGAACTGGAAAATAAGTGCATTATGGCGGACCGTCCGAGGTACAATCAGCTCGTCCCACGCCTTCCTTCGTCGGTTGTGACGCTGGTTGAGAACATTCTACTCTGCCCATCGAATGAGGCAAAGTATGAAACAAGGAAGCAAGCGATTTTAAAAGTTACAGCCCAGCGCACGAGCTCGATTTGAACAGCTCAATGATCTCAAGCTTGGAGATCGCAAGCCGTTGGTGTTGCTCCGCAAACTTCAGCGCACCGCCGGTCCCTTTTTCTTGAGCGAAGAAGGGATAAAGGAGCTGTGGTTTGCACGTCTCCCAGAGGCATTGCATGTATTACTGTCCATGTTTATAGATATACCCTAAAAGAATTAGCTACCAAGGCAGACGCTGCGTTCGAACGTTTTCCGCAGCAGACGAACACTAGCTCCGGTGACGTATTCTCACCGATGAAAACCGAATCCTATATTTGCTCCCAGGCGTTAGGCCGATCTGACTCTAAAGACGAGGAAATTGCGCTACTTCGCAGCAGGATAGCAGCAATGAAGGCTTCGAAGCAGCGTGTGCCACGGTCAAATGCTGACCACGTTTTGGCTACCGTTCATTGCGGCTCGTCTGTGCCTGCACCGAGTACGTCACATTCGGCACGAAAGCGCAACATTTTCACTACAAGTTCTCAGTCAGATAATGCCAAACCCGTCGAAGAAGTATGTTGGTAGCACCGCCAATACGGTGGAAGAGCTAGACGTTGTCGGGCTCCCTGCATTAGGCACGACCCAGCTGCTTCTGGGAAGACGAATAGCCTGCATACTAGCAAGGTAAACGTTTCAGTCAATAACCAAGCAAACTGACTGTTTTACGCTGAGGCTCGAAGTTCTTCCACCACATTCCGCGTCGATACGGGAGTGGAAGTCAGCGTCATCCCAGCGACCGAGGATGACAAGCACTCAGAGCCTACGTACAATTTGCGTGCGGCCAACGGTTCTCCGATAGCTTCATTCGATCAGCGCATGATGCACCTGGACCTCAATCTACGCTGAGACTTTCAGTGGGTCTACATGGTTGCGTCTGTACCCTTCGCAGTTATCGGTATCGACTTTCTCCCACATTTTGGGTTGCTTGTTGATGCTGGTCGCCACAGACTTTTAGACGACCGTACTAAACTAGGGGTCGAAGGCGTTCTTACGAACTCACCAACAATCAGTCCTGTTTTTCGAATCGCCAATGCACCATCTGGTTATGCGAACCTACTGTCTGAGTACCTGCGACTGGTACGACCAGCTGCGGAGCTTCCGCCAGTCACGACAAAGGTCGCTCATCACATAGTCACGTGTGGTCAGCCAGTTAGCGCACGACCAAGACGGCTTGCTCCTGACAAACTACGTGCAGCACGAGCTGAATTCGACCACATGCTTTAGCTCGGTATCGTCAGACGGTCCAACAGCCCATGGGCGTCGCCTCTCCAAATGGTCCCGAAGAAGGTCATGGGGGACTGGCGTCCTTGCGGCAACTATCGAACCTTGAGTACGGTTACAACGCCTGATCGCTACCCGATCCCACACATAGTGGATCTCACGGCCAGTCTGGCGGGTAAAAATATCTTCAGCAAAATCGACTTGGTACGCGCATACAACCAAATTCCGGTAGCCGAAGCAGACATCGCTAAAACTGCCGTGACGACTCCATTTGGTTTGTTCGAGTTTCTGCGCATGCCATTTGGCCTGAAGAATGCCGCGCAAACATTTCAGCGCTTCATCGACCAAGTTTGTCGCGGTTTAGACTTCGCTTACGCGTGTCTCGATGACATTTGAATCGCGAGCTCTTCACGAGAAGAGCACATGCGCCACGTACGAACACTTTTTGATCGTTTATCTCAACACGGGATGACGATCAAAGCAGAAAGGTGTTCCTTTGGTGTCGGCTCAGTAAACTTCCTCGGCCGTCTTATCTCTTCTGCAGGCGTCGTGCCAATGCAGGATAAAATTCAAGCCACCATCCACCACCCCGAACCCCACTCGTCAAACAGCTCAGGCGTTTTGATGGGCATGTCAACGTTGACCGACGGTTTATACCTAACTGCGCCTCGCTGATACAACCCCTCACGGACCTACTCCGAGGGAAACACAAGAAATTCGAATTTCCTGCCGCAGCACGCGCTGCTTTTAAGTCGCTGAAAGGGGCTATCGCCAACATAGCTTCTATAGTACATCACGATCCGGCCGCTCCCTGTCCCTCAGTACTGACGCTTCGGACGTGGTAGTCGGCGCGGTATTGCAGCAACGAGTAGCTGACACGTGGCAGCCCTTAGCGTTTTTCTCAAAACGCTTACAACCTACCGAATCTCGCTACAGCACATTCGGTAGAAAACTACTAGCCGTATATCTGGCGATAATTCACTTTCGACACGTCCTAGAAGGCCGCTCTTTTGCCGTCTTCCCTGACCACAAATCCCTGACTTAGGTGCTCGGCTCGACTACCGACCGATACTCTCCTAGAGAGTCGCGCCACCTTGCCTATATCGCTAGGGTCAGCTTGACCGAAGGTTTCTTTCAGTACTTCCACCATGCGGTTAGCAGCAGCTGCTGCTTTCCGGCAACAAGCTAATACGGAATGATAGGTCCGGGTAATGATACCCAAGTCTCTTTCGGCTGAAGAGACCTGGTGGATAGACTCTTTCAGGTAATATATTTGATCACGCCTTTACAGGTGTGTCTCGCTTTACAGAGAATATGCCATTTAATATTTATTTATTTATTTAAAAAGCAGAAGGGCTGGTAGAAAGGACGGGACGTTCGAAGCGGTAAATGGAAGGTTATTTTCTGTGCCACTGGTGTACACCGCGCAGGCCTGTCTGAGGTGTGTGGGCTTCGTCGGGATGGTTAATTTCGCGCTGCAGTTTCCCATCTACCGCATATAGCAGCTGGGAAGACTGCACTTGCAGCGTGACACCATCAATGATGGCTAGGAAGAGGTGGGTTCCGAGAACAGACCCTTGTGGAACACCGTATGCGGCCAAGGAAACGAGGAGACAGCGCTCTGCGGACACGCACTTCGACGGTACGGTTTTCAAGGCAGTTCCGGATGTATTGCATCAAAGTCCCTGACAAGCCGTAACACAGCTGACGACGGTGTTTCAGAAGTTACTTGACAGCTGTACATTACCTTCTGAATGGAAAGAGACTGTCATCTGTCCTATCTGCAAACATGGTGACAGGAGTGTGTGAGCCAATTATAGGCCAGCCATGCTGACTGGCGGCGCTCTTCACTGGGTATCTGCACTGTTGCAGGGAAGCGACCAGTGTTTACGTGTGAGCCGCAGCTTATTCTTTAGGCAAGCTGTGTCCCACAGGGTTTGGACCGATGCTATTCTCCATCTAC